GGAGGCACTGATGGCACCTGAATGTTCACGTTATGGTACAAACCGTTCTTGTTTTCGTTGAACAGATTCCCATTAAAATAGTCTCCGTTTGTAAATTGCGAAGTCTTTACAGAGACTGTGGACGACAGAGAGTGCATATCTTGAAGAGGTGACCGAACCGTTCCGTCCATTTGTCGATTCTTCGGACACTCGGCTTCTTTAGCGCTAACAATGGAACCGATTGTTTGTTCACATGAATCGACAGAATTCTTGAGTCCGCCATAACTTTGAACAGAATTGTTTAAATTCTTGCGGAGAAGCGCTTCTCTAAGTTCTGAGTAGCCCTCCAGCGGAACAGTTTCGGCCAACTTTTGTGCTCCTGTTTTAGCACTCAATTGATTGGGCAAATGATTTTCAAGAAGTTTTCTAAGTTGTGAAAGTTGTGCCGTTTGATGGCTATTACTACTGCTGGCCTCCCAGTGCTCTTTGTTTCCATTGGTCACGTTAAACGACAAGTAATCCATAAGCGCTTCCGACTCGAGATCGTGTATCCGAATGTCCGAATTAACCATATTATTGATTGTTTGCATTTCCTGAGAAATTGGTGACAAACTTGTGCTGGAATTCGCGTCATCGAAACCACTGCTGTTCGTACTGTTGGATACCATTGTATTTATTGTATTAATATTATCGATGTGTCTCTTCTTTGTGGCCAAAACTGACGACTCTTTCTCTTCCATTTGTCTCTTTGGTTGTATTTGTTTGTCGACATAGACTTCCATTTGCTTTAATTTGGTTTCTTTGCCGATCGGAACGGACACCGAATGCCTTCGTTTGGCGATAGAATTGAATGTTTCGCACATTTCGTTCCCATTATTCGCAGAAACGGCGGACTCGGAGTCGGATCGACAGATATTTACCGGTTTTGGTTGAATTCGTTTGTATTTAGGAGTGTTTGGCTTAAGGGGTGAAGTAGTGATTGTAGAGACCGTTGTTGTGGCCGTGTTTTCATTACAAATTGTCGATTGAGGCGATCCGAGTCTCACTGTAGTGGTGGGCACTAGTATTATACTGGAAATGGCGGGTTGGCTCATACGAGACGGCGTCACCGTTCGGGGAATCGCAACCTTTCATTCAAATTACATTTCATTAGAAAAATATATTGCAACCAAATATTTGTGTAAAAACCAAAAAACTTACTTTAGTTTGAGTTTTATTGGGTATTAAATTAGAAGAGAACTCGAATTCGGGCTCTTTTTTAATTTTTATGGCATTTTGTAAATACAAAGAAGTGATCGATTCAAACGACTCCGACTTCGAGGCGCTGTTCTTGCGATTCTTACGAATGGATTTCGCGGCAGAACTTGGATTGACTTTTGAATTATTATCCAAACACTTGAGATCTGTTCGTCTCTTTTGCTCTCTTATGGCCTCCTTTTCGTAGATCTTTCGCTGCAATTGGTTTTGAATGTCTCGTCTTCGCAAACCATTCACTGACTTTGCATTGGTTTTGAAGCTCTGTTTCTCATCATTCGCTTTCATAAATACCTTCTCGTTTAGTGAGACATCAAACGAGTTCGAAGTGATTATAAATTGTGCCAAATCTTGCAGTGAATCAAAATTTCTGTTCAACAGTTTGGTCGCCCACGAGATTATAACATCGTTCTCAACGGACGATTCATCGCCTAAAACACCGATTTTCTCTTTATTCCAATGTTTATTGCTTTTAATGGACTCGTAATCACTGGTATCCAGAATAGGCAACTCTGGCGCCTCGATGTTGAGCCTCTTGCGAAGCCCTGAATAGCAGTACTTGGAGTTCCCTCTCTGGCCGAGTCGTCGGGGTTTCACTTTCGGGAAAACATGTTTCATAGCTTTGCCGAAGTCGGCCACACAGAGGGGTTCAAACTTATTGGCCTCACAGAACACTTTGTACTCTTCGTAAACCTCCTGTTTGGGCAAAGAAACGGTCGAATCCTCTTCTAAATGGCTTTGAATCCAAGTGTATGTTTGCGCCACTTCTATGTCCGCCTTCTTCCCAAACGGATTGCCCGGTCCTTTCCTATACGTTCAACACATTCACAGCATTAAGTCAACAATAGTTACAAATATTCATTGTCATTCTCGGCATACATTTTTACAACAATCATAATTTGATATAAAACATACTGCAATGTAATTGATTTGCTATTAATATCACAATTGATTAAACAAATAATTCATGTTGTGTTGCAGTGAACAGCACTGCTCGGGGCATACAATGAGGAGACTTTACTTTACATCACTTAACACAATGAAATTCATGAGAATATATACACATTTATGGCAATTTTCAGACAGTTATAAACTTTTCGCAATACAGTATAATATACTGTATTTTATAAATTTAAAAGCAATAAAATGTTAAATCTACACATTTTATGAATATATAATAAATAGAAATAAATTTACAAATATTGGTATAAAATGTGTCTATACTGTCAAATGGCATTAATATTGTAAAGCTTGGCTATAATTTATTTAAATTGCTATAAATTCATGTATTGGTAGTGAATGTAATGATAAAATGCATTAATATTTCAATAAAACATGTTTCTGTTAGAAATTTGTGTTTTTTATTCATAGACTAATTCATCAAATATTATTTAAACAAAGAATTTGTGAAATAAAGCACTAATTTTGAAGACATGCACCAAAAGTGCTGTAATTGAAGAGATGGTGAGACGGATGGCAGATGGAGAGCATTCATACATATAATTATCTATTTTCTAAATCTTATTACTTATATAGTGAACCAAAAGTATGTTATAAAAGTAGACGTATTTTTGTTCACTATATGTAAAAGCAATTTAAATTCACTGTATATTTATATTAAACTTTTAGACATGTACTGGAAGTATATGTATAACCATTAGAGTATACATTAAAAGGCATTTACTGTAAAATAACTTAATATTTATTGAATACTATAAATACAATAAAAGTTAATTAATGTAATAACTTATACTGTATTTTCAGTGTATTGTATGAAAGTCTGCCATTCATTGGATTCGCATAAAACAGTTATAATTTAGTTGTAATTTTGAATGCAATTGAAAATAGAGATGACATCACAATAATTCAATTAATAATATAATCATCTATTGTTTATAATAGTAATTATATTATGTAATAATTAACACAACAATTAAAAGGTAGACTCACTGTTTGAGAGGATCGAGTTCTTGTGCCGAACCATTTGGTAATTGTATATAAAGTAATAGCTTTTCGATATCATTGAACTCTTCGATCTCATTCTGCAATCAAATCAATACAATTAGTTGTATTACATTTTACATCAAATCAATTGTATTACAAAACAATGGTTACTAAATATGCTCAACATTTAACACATCAAACACTACTCTTCATGACATAAGTCCATATATTTTATTGATATAACAATAATTGTTAAGTTATTTTCGTCTATAAAATGGTAGTAAATATCAAATTAAAGGCAAACAATACTTACAATAATATTAGTGATCCTTTTCTTCGTTTTGTCGCTATAAACGAGAAAAACAAATAATTAATAAACCATTTATTAATTCAAATATCAAATACAATGAAAAACTATTCATTAGTTAATATACACTCTATTATGTAAATCGATATATAATAGCATTATTATTATTACACAAAACTATTGATTATGTAATGAATTTATCACTTCAATTGGTTTAATGATATAAAGACATAATAATCACTCAAATAATGTGCGATAATTAAGATATTGTCAAACAATATGATAAGAAAGAGAGCCATGAATGAGAGGAAAGGGCTCTTCAATGCAAATGTTTGGCCATTTTGTGAACCAAACCAAACACTCATTCACACAATTAGACCTTATATTCACTACAATTAGCGTTCATTCAATACCTGATTGTCTGTTGAATACAATCCTTAAGGGATTGGTTTTGATTGCAGTGAGTGTTGGCATCGGTTTGGCATTCAGTGGACGAACCGTTCATTTGGCGATCGCTTGCCATCAGATCCGTTGCCATCGCTTCCGATGACACTAACTCTCCCTTCAATTCAATTTCATTGCAATTGTTATTAATATTAGACAACATATCAGTCCTTCACTATTGTTGTCACGTCTTTCGATGGATCAGTTGATGGGGTGACGAGTGGTTGTTGTG